GTGTGTGTGTGTGTGTGTGTGTGTGTGTGTGTGTGTGTGTGTGTGTGTGTGTGTGTGCGTGTGTGTGTGTTAATTTAAAGGAAGCAGTGGCGACAGAGGCACTCCAAACAGCCACAGAGGAACAACAGCCTGTGAAAATGGGACAGAAGGGGCCGTCAGGCGAGGCTGTAGAACAACTATAAGTGTAATAACGGAGTTGTTTTCCTTCTTCATTTAAAAGGGAAAATGGACTTTTTTGTGCTTTATATCATGTTATAAAGTCATTTCCTCATCAATCACAAACACAGAGAGTTGCTTTGACTCATTCATGCATGTTTGTGAAATCCTTGAATCTCCTGTTTTAGCCATGTGGAGCTTGCTCAAACAAAGCTCTGCCTATTTACATAAAGCTCACTCTAACCTCATTTCAAAACATAGCTTCATGATGATCTATATTTATAGCTTCTTTGCAATAAGTAGCTTAGCATTGTCATATATGTATGTAAGGATGACTGGGAGATGTATTACCAAGCTGAAACATGTTGTAAGAGTCTCTGTACTCACTCCGGTTCCTCAGAAAACATGCTTTCCAGGTCCGAAATGGGATAATTAGAGTGAGGTTCAACTGTATCCTGAGTTGCCGTTTTCTAAAACTGATATTATATAACAGGGTTCTCCAATCCTGGTCCTTGTGGTATATTGAATTACCTCTTCAAGTTTGGTAAAGCACCTGCTAATCACCCATTCATTAAAATCAGGTGTGTTGGAGCAGAGAAACATGTATAACACACAGGATAGCGGACCTCCTGGACCAGGATTGGAGAAGCCTGTTATTTAATGTTATTTTTTTTACAACAAAATACAACACTCCTACATAAGGTTGCAAACAGCATGAAGCATTGTTGTGAAGATGTGCTGAAGTGGGAATGTCGGAAATGGTAAGAGGTTTTTAAAGTGTCCGATGCCAATTTCAACATGTTTAGACAGGCTATGATGCAAAGTCAAATTCATTTTTGTTATGTATTGTATTTTTATAACTGAAGGTAACAGTTACTTGACTGTGGTATAGAATTGAACCATATGCCTGTAAAATACATAATACCACCATCACCACCCTTTAATACATCAATAATCATTTTAGATGCACAAAATGYGCAGCAAGAACCTCAGTGTGGCAGCTCACCTCCAAAGTAGGACCCGTCCATCAGCTTCATGCCGATGCTGCCTTTGGTCAGGACGCTCACCACCCCGTGCTGAATGAAGTACATCTTCTTGCCGATGGTGCCCTCTCTGATGATGTAGTCTAWGGGCTGGAAGACTTCGAATCGGAGTTTGGTCAGCATGGCTGTCACAAAGTTGGGATCAGCGTTGGCAAACAGCGGCATGGAGGCCACCAGCTTACGGCAGTTGAAGTTGACAATTTCCTGAAATCAGARCATTTGTGTGAAGCTGTTGACGGCTGAAATTTAAGCTTTTTCGTGGTTTTTAATGTGAAAGATGTTGACCTTCTTATACGTCATGGACAAGTTTGAGGATTAAAAACATGTGTGGCACTTTACTGAAAATGTAGTGAGAAAAACAGCCTTTTCCAACYTTTCAATCCTCTGTATGAAACGTTCTCGCCGATCTTATGTCTCATGGAGAAACTCTTAATTGGTAAAATTACACCCTTTAGTTTTACTTCTGTGAAACTGGAAACAACATTTCAGTGAGTTTTTAAACATCGCTACACATCTTAAGCTGCACAAAAGTAGGAAAACAGACTTTGTTTAACACTGAAAGCATGCGGCTCAGACTATTTACTTAAAAAATAAAATYATTATTTGCAGTCACGAATGACTGATTAGCCAACAACAATGTGTTCATGCTGAATAAAAGATAAAGCTGTGTTTGATGCAAACAGATGAAGCAAGCAGAAGGATGTTTTTGCAAGTGAATGAGCGTATGAGAAATTCTAAGATTTTAAACGTTTCTCAAAAGAGGAGAGCTTATCAGGGCTTTATCATAAAAAACACTCCAGTCTGTTTCCTCTGTGAAGCAAAGAGAAATTTGTGTAATATTTTCGCATTAGTGTAGAAGTGTTTTTGTACCTCGCGCAGAGGCTCATTYAGCTCTTCCAGGATGCTCTCCTCATCAAACATCTTGCCCTGGTATCGGTGCTCATAGTAGTCATGGATTTTCTGCCGGAAGTCGGCGGGGAGTTTGTGGAACGACATGTACTGCTCCACTTGTTTGTACTAGAAGAGCGGCGGGAGAAGCAGAAACAAACAAGTCAATGAAAACTAAAGAACTYTGAGTTTATCTGACTTTGAAACATCACAACGATCCTCTCTTTAATGCAGTGCTTCAGTTTTTAAAGCATCAGACATTATTTCTTTTACATATAAAAAAAATTAACTTTCACATTACTACTGTCCCCAAATGATCATCTAAAAATTAAAAAAACACAACCTGAAGAAAAATGTTTCCGTTTATTACAGCCTCCTTTGTCCAAAGTTCAATTTAAAAAGTAGAATTGTTTGTAGAAATGCATTTCATCTTCTGTTGCAGAGTTTAAAACAAAGACGTCTCACGATCTGTTAGCATCTGTCTTTGTTTTAAACTCTGCAACCGAAGATGAAATGCATTTCTACAAAGAATTCTACTTTTTAGATTGAACTTTGGATAAAGGAGGCTGGAATAAACTGAAACATTTTTCTTCAGGTTGTGTTTTTTAGTTTTTAGATGATCATTTAGGGACAGTAGTAATGTGAAAGTTAATTGGGTATCTGTGTAGTATGTGTTGGGGATGGCCATCAGCTACTACCACAACAGYTAAATTTCACTGAGTTGGAGCCATTTCATGTGGTTTTTAAGATATAGTAGGTCTGYTGGCCATAGTGGGTTGAGTCCAAACATTAGTCATTTGTACATGAACATCAAATGGTTGCTTTCTGAGTGTTTCATTAAAAATCATCCTGTGGTTCATGAAAAATTTTGGCATCAGATGATAAGACACACACACACACACACACACACACACACACACACACACAC